GCGGCTAGGATCTGGAACCAACTTCCAAGAGAAGTGGTGCTGGCTCCTACTCTGGGGGTCTTTAAGAGGAGGTTAGATGAACACCTTGCTGGAGTCATTTGACCCCAGTACTCTTTCCTGCCATGGCAGGGGGTCAGACTAGATGATCTACTCAGGTCCCTTCTGACCCTAGAAACTATGAAACTATGAAATGTGCCCCTCCTGTCTCCTATCCCATGCCCAGCTCAGGCAAGGTCTTTCGTATTTCCTATATCGGCTGCTATCCCTTCTTCCCCTAGCTCCTACACTTCTGCACAAAAAATACTGATGGGCAGAAACAGAAGCAATGTGAACACCTAAAAAACCACCCAAAAACACCCTTCCTATACTCACATTCTGTGCCCAGCACCCTTCACCCCAGGACCCTGAGAATGGCACATACTAAAACGCTTAGTGAGAATTGTACACAAACTGTACAATCAGCATAAAGGATAGATGGAGCACACTCAATACACGAAAAATCTTTGGTAAATTTGGTAAAGTTGAACAAGCCTCTGAGTATAGGCAATATATCAGAGGCTTATAATTCAGAAAAATGTGGGCAGATGATCTCTATGACAGCTAATATACATCCCTCACATCATACTGACCCAACCACTATGAAATTTCAAGTCTCGGCTGGGGAAGTGCTTGAGATAGGCTGCCAAATTGAAAGGCCAGGCTTTGCTGGATGGTTTCTAGTTCTCAGTTGTTTCTCAGGACCAGTCCCTCAAGACACAGTTAGCAAATCAGCACCTTGACCCTCTATCACATATATACTTAAGTACATTCACATGACCCCTTTGAATCTCCTTCTACCACATGACAGAGTCTGGGAAATTATAGACTCAGTGGGTATGTCTACACTGGATGCTTTACAGCACAGTAGAATAGTTCACTAAGAAGTAAGCATGTGAGTCTACATGTGCATACACTTAATGTACAGTAAACCTCCCTAATCATATTTGCTACCTGCAAATGCAAGTAGTAAATTTACTTATAATTACTTATTGCACAGTAGTACTCATGTAGCTACCTGACTGGGAGCAAAACTGATCAGCTAGCCACCAGGGGGCAGGAGACTGCTCCCTGCCCCCAGGAGCTGCCTGCTGCCAGGGCAAGCTCCACCACCAGGGCCCTGATGGAGACTATGTCCCCCTGTCCCAGCAGCAGGGAGCTCCATGCCCCTGCTCCAAGATTGTGATTGGGGAGCAGGGCCTGGGAGAAAGGATAAGGATCTCCCAGCATCAGCTCCACGACCACAGAACTGGCACGGGGAGCTCTCTGCTGGCAGGGGCTAGGGAGCCGGTTCCATGCCCAGCTCCGTGATCACAGACCTGCGTGGGGAACAAGTTCTCCAGCCTGTTCCCCACCCAGCTCTGCAATCAGAGAGCTGAGCAGGCAGCAGGCTCCCTGCAATCACAAAGACGATCGGCAAACAGGCTCCCCAGCCTGTTCCCCACCAAGCAGGAAAACAGGCTCCGCAGCCCACAATCACAGAGTGGGGGCTAGGAACTGTCCTGGTCACAGGCAGGTCCCAGCCCCATGCTGTGATCAACTGATTAAAGCAAAGGGCTTGGAAAGAGCTGCAGGGGTGGGGTAGGTCCCAGCCCCCTGCCCTGATCCACCGGTGAAGCAGCTAGCACCTAGGGGCAGGGTGTAGTGTCTCCTGGCCCAGTGCTCCCTACCAAGAATGCCCCCCCTAGTGGCGGCAGGGGCCTATTGCAGGGCTCCAGGAGGCAAGAGCAGTTTGCTGCCATTAGCAGCAAATATGTTCTTGTTTCCCTGCACATGTGGACACCTGCCTGAGAGCATTTACTCACAAGTAAACTGCTCCTGGACCCAGTGTGGACTGCTGCATTGATCTTTTTCCCAGTCTCTATACAGAAGTGGAGTGAAGGGTCCACAAACTAGCCCCATGCAGGTGCCACAAAGTGTGGGTTCTAGAGTAGGTGCCATATGCACTGCATGTCCTAGGCCCTGTGCACAGGGCTGGTCCAGCGTACACTACAAGTGAGTCGACTCTAGATGCAGAACCAGCAGTGGGGTCCAGCTGATGCAACTCAGTGGGCAAGATCCACCCCTAGGACTCTATCATTAGCACTCCTGGTTTAGAGAATAATGGATAAGCTAACTCCTGTTTACATTACTTATGAAAATAGTTCCTTTGACGTCTAGAGAAACTACCCTTTTAAGTTAAGTAAGCTGCGTTTCTCACATTAAGGCTACAAGACATATTGCAACATGCATCTTAGACTGTTGTATGAAACATCCTATGATCCCATATGCATATTTTTGCATTCCTTAAATGT